TAAACTTGCAAAGATATAGGATAAGGGAGATAGATAGATAGATAGATAGATAGATAGATAGATAGATAGATAGATAGATAGATAGATAGATAGATAGATAGAAGACAGACAGACAGAGCTTTGTAATGGTACCTGTGAAAGAGATACTGGAATAGTAATCAATACATTAAATAGTAATCAATCAACTCAAAACAATCAGCAGCACTGGTTGTTGCAAAAACTGCAAATGCAATTTTAAGGCTGAATCAGGAGAAATATAATTTTTAAATTCCCAAAAATTCAAATTGCTTTTACATTGCTCAAATCCCATTCCAAGAATTATATCCGCCCAACATAACAAACCAACCAACCAACCAAAAAAGAATACTGGATCAACTGTCAAGAACTACCTGTATACCGATCTCTTACCCAATGGCTGAATTTGCATAAAACATGAACCACAATCCAATTCAAAGCCTTATTTTATTCTAGTGTGGTATGTGGATTTTATGCAAGGCTACCAATTTGGGTTTGCACAACTCTAAACAATCACTAGATAGCACAAGCACTTAGATTTATACACCTCTTCATAGTGCTTTACTGCACTCTAAGTGATTTACACAGAATCAGCATATTGCCCCAACAATCTGGGTCCACATAAATGGCATCATAAAGTCAGTTTTGCCACCACTACTAGCTGTTGGGATTTTTGTAGTTTAAATTTGGTAACCTGGATGTGGGTTGAATATGGACTAAGATAATAGTAAGCATACATGTGCAAACAGATTTAGTTATTGCATGTCATATTAAACCCAAACATGCTTTGCTCACTTTAGATTAGCATGCTTTGTGAAGACTGCCCTTGTGGATGAAAATGCGGATTTTGGCTCACCATAGGAGCCAATTGGGATTGATTCAACACAGTGGAAGATTACTAATATGATTTCTGATATGAACACAACCATGACTCTTTGTCTGTTGCCTGAAATCCTTATATTCCAACACTTTTACTCTTAGCTTTGCGGAACTTTTAACTCCGCAAAAGCTTCGTCTATAAGTCAATACTCAGAACCCGAGTACTCTCCAGAGACTTTGTACCACCAACGTCTTTCCGTACTACGTGGCGGGGACTCAGATTACGGTGCTTTTTAGAGATACACGTGTAACATTTTTAGCTGAACTCGGTAATTGCTAACTTGTCCCATCCCCTCCTGGCAGCACCTTCATAGACCGAATGGCTTCCCAGCCCTGGCGAACGCTGCTTATTTCCTCATAGACAGTCTGATGAGGCAGCAGAAGCTGGTTGAGAATCTGCAGGAATCCCCTGCGGTACCGAAGCGCTTCCAAACTCATGGCGATCGCCAAATCTGAGGCTGCAGCAGTCTGAAATTCCCTGGTGATCTACGATGTGTTTGAATCGCTCCTTTGCCGCCGTCTCTACTGGGTCCTAGGAAACGTCGGTTCAAAATATCTTTTGTCTCAGGCTGATTTCATAGCAGGTCGGTCTACAGAATTCCGGATGATCAAAGGTGGCAGCAAAGCTTTTCTTAACATTTGTATCTGGATTTTGACAGTCTAGACCTGGCTGGCACTCTAACTAAATCAGGATTAGGGGGTGGAAGGGGATAAATAGATACTTTCCAGAACATTGTGCTAAAATAAAATTTTGGATTCCCCCACCCCTGTTGTCTTAATTAGCAAACGTTGATGCAGCTGTTTTGACAGTAATTTAGACAAAAAAAAATTAACTCGTAGAACGGCTTGTCTTCAGAAGTTGTGGGTGCTTCATCACTGGAGGTTTTCCACAAACCATCATTTGTCCTTTGGCACATTAAAATGTACTTGCCTTGCTTGAGTTGTGTTTCACCATTTCTCAAGTGAAAAGCCCAAATCCTGATTGGCAGATATACTTAAAGTGAATGTTGAAAGTAGCAAGATAAATACATAATCAATGATGATAACTAATTGTGCAATTCTTTGTCATCTAGAACATGCATTTTAAAAACCCTTTTGGATTCAGTGGATTTACTCATAATCAAGCATGCAGAGATTAGGCCTTGTTAATCTTTCATGGTAGAACAATATTAAATATCTAAACTGGTCTTGGCTGCTTGGTTCATGAGTTCAGCAGCTGGGCAATGGAATAATTAGCAGATGGATAATGTAATAGATAGTTCACCACACCAAAATCTTAAGCTGAAATTTAGGCCAGAGTTTTAAAATTACCATCTGCTCAATAAGAGTTAATGAAGTAGATTAATATATTTTCAACAAAATATCCTTCTATTTGTAATCCATCCTATCATCTCTATCTGGTTGAAAATCATGATACATAGATCATTAACCAAATTGTTCTGTAAAATGAGGACATCCATATCAGATAATTAAAACCTGTGCAAATAAAGTTGGCTTGAAATGACAGTGTTGTGTTGGAAGATGATTTATGATGGGCCAAGGGCAAAAATGAAATGTACTAAGTTCTCACTGGTTCATAGCTCTCATTTGTTTTTCCTTCAAGCAAAGCCCCTCATTACAAATTTCACTATTTCATCTTAAACTGATACAAAATAGTATTCTGCCTTTTTCTCATTATTGCTGCTACAATTAACTTCATATTTTATTACCCATTCCAACTGCACTGCACACCAGCAAACCAGATAATGAAATGGAAAACATGCAGAAATGTTTTAATCTGAACATAGTTACTTTGTATCAGCTACTATCAAGGCACAACTATTTTTTTAGACATTGACATGAAATATCCTCTTCATCTCACTATATTTATACTTTCAATGTCCAAAACCAAATATTGCATTGTATTATTTGTTACAATTAAATTCAGTGTTTCCTCCAAGAGCTAAAAGCAACCTACATGGGGAATCTCTCTCCATTTATTTCTCCAGCACTGAATTTGTAAAGTAGGTTGAATTGAAAAAACACAATGATTTTCCAATTCTTGAACCTTTGTAGTAGTTATCCAACAGTTTAATCACTAGTGTTCAATCATTATAGAATTAATACCCTGAAGACATATGATTTTTCTATTTTTCCTATGTATTTATATTCTTGCTGTACACTTATAGACCAGATAGTTAAAAAAAAATAACGATCAAATAAAGCAGTTAACAACAGATGGAAAGAACAGAGAAAAATTCAAATGTGTATTTAAAAAATCAAGACTAGACTTTGTAAGTGTCAAAAGGCATTCTTATTAGCATCCTTTAATTGAATGAGACAGAATATTGTCTCAAAGGTGCTTTTTCAAGATTCTTGGATGAGAAGTGAAATTTCTTCAAAGAAAAACTAGAAAGTCCAGTTGCCACTTGAAAAAGCACCTTTGGGACAACTAGGACCTGGATTGCTGCAAATCTCATAGACAGTACAGAATATTGACTTTCTTAGAGATTGCAATAAGAAAGCTGCAGAATGAACTTTCAATTTGAAAAGCATGAAAAGTTTGAAAAATTTGAAAAGTTCCCTCCATATATCTGCTGTTGTGTAAGACAGTTAGCTCTAAGCATTAGGTCTTGGCACACAGGACAGCTAAGGAACTTGTTATTCTGAACATATGCAAATATGCTCTTGAAAACAGTTGAATCTCCACCATCACCTTCAGAGTATCAAATCTTCCTGAGATGACCTGCAGTCTGTGTGGGGCAGATGATGTTGTAAAGATACTTGAAGTGTAGACAAAAGCAAAATATTGATGACTTAAAGGTGTGAATCTATTATTTTGTACATTTAAATCAAATACACTCTTTTTTCCACAATAGCTGAAGTTGAGTTAAAAGTTGGCAGTAAGAATCAAGATACTTAATTCTTTAATATCTATTTATTAGTTAGAATCAACTAGGGCCATGGGTGTCAATATCAACAAAGCAGTGACAATGGGAACCTAAACAAAAAATAATCCTATAGGATGACAAGCACAATCTTCAAGTAATTCTAGGCTGGATGGCCATTTCATTTCAACTTTTAAACTTAGGTTATTACATTTGTATTTATTTTATATAACCAATCATTTCATTTCATTTGCTTATATTTAATTCTCCCAATTAAGGTCCGTTTGAGAAAGAAAAATAAATATCCATATAGGAAAATGCAACTCTTTCATTTTACATTGAACATATTTTTGAAATCCCATAATTGTTCCCATCAGGAAAAACATGCACAAAGTCTGCAGATTTTTCTAGCCTGGCTTTAAAAGACGGTTCAGTACATCAGGATTTATTTTATACAGGCACAGTATGAGTTTTTTACCCCATAAACACGCATGGTATTATATTATTGCATATTTAATAGCTTCTTCGTCTAAAGGGCTCACAGAGGGACAAAAACGAGTTCCATTTAATAGAGAATGTCAAAACAGACTAGTGGAATAAGCTCCTCTTCATTTTTTTCTTATCTCTATCTTTTTTAAATGTCCAAGTCCCTGCTCAGAAGGCGCGCCGGAAGAATATTTGCCCGACATTCTCGTTTAGCTTTTGGCTCTCGCGAGAACAATTGAAGCCGGAAACTCCACGTCGGTGTATTCTGGCTGGGAGCGAACCTCGGCAAGTTGGGTGGCCTGAGTAGCCGACGCGGGAGCCAGCGCTATGGTAAGCTGACGCCAGTGCGATGTTCAAGAGCTTTAGAGGCTTGCATAGAAATAGTAGGCCGAAAGGGGAAGGTAGCTGAATGGAACAAGGGTCGGGTCAGGAGTACGTGTGGAAGAGATTTTGTTGCCTTCCATCTCCATTCTCATGCAAGAGCCTCACCGTTGCTCTTCCATGCAGCTGCTTGTGTGGGTTAATCCATAGAAGCTCGGCGTGCAATTAGCAGAAATCCAACCGTGACTTTTGGCCCGAATATACGGCGAGAGCGAACCCGTATTTGATGGTTTCTTCGCAAAATCTCTTTTCTGGCAATGCTGTTTGGTAGATTGGTAGAGAAAGAACTCTTATTGATTCTGACCTTGTTTTCATCTATTTCTGGCAATTTGCCTTTACAATAGATTGGGTTGAATCAAAAGAGTCCCTCGGTTCTCTTCGTTGCGAGTGAAAGAACCTTGTTAGAATTGTCATCTATGATCTGAAAGGGTTTAACTGCTAGGCATTACCTCCTGGGTTAATTATTGTCAGTTACTTTACCTGGGACTTAGCTCATTATCTGCTCCAAATGTTGCTGGAAAAAGGACAGGCTTTGAAGTATATGTTCTGTCTGTTATGGTATATGAACATTCAACAGTGCTGCAATTGTTGCTTTCATTCATGCTCTTTTCAGACTGTAAAGCTGAAGCCTAACGGGACAATCACTATTGACAGCAAAGAGACTTTTCTGTTTTTGTGGGTTTCCATCTAATGGCCATCCAGATTTTCTCAGTATGGATAATGATTGCCTTAATGTAGACATATTAAATTAGTACTAAAAGATAATTGCTGGTGCCCCATAGCTAACCCATGGGTGTAGGTTATTGGTAAAGTTGCATGATTCTTGTAATGATAATCCTTTACTTGTTCAAAACTAAATGTGCATTTCCAGAGTTAGAGTTAGAAATGCATATGCTTAAATGCATTTTAGAACAGATGGGAGTTGTTTTATTTTATCACTGAGCAGAATAACACTGCTAGTCTTTTTAATTGACATATTGTCATGACTGGATCCAGTACCATCAACTCTGATTAGTTCAACCTTTTCAGATTGTTGTATTTTATTTTCAGACATGAATGAAGGAGTAGAAATCTGGAACATAAAAGCATAAAATCTTCATGCTTCGCCAGTGACCTTTTTCTTAATAGTTACAGTTATATTAAAGAGGCATCTCATTCTCAAAATATTGAAGTTTTGCTTTCAGTGTGGTTTTATAGGTCTCACAAGTTAGAGGCTTCTTGTTCCATTTGTCCAATTGCATTCCTGCCCATTTCTAGGAGCTGTCCCAAACTATTTTTTTAATATCAATACTGTGATTGTTTTGTATTAACATAAATCTTATTTTGATTCATATACATAGATACTGTGCTCTTTTTACATAATAATGAATGTTTTTGTGAAGTCAGTGACAATATTTGCTTGCTTGCTTTGTTTTATAGTCTGGGTTTCACAAAATTCATGAGCAACTTTAAACATCGCCTATATGAAAAACTAAACTGGCACATTGAAGAAAGAATAATAGTATATTCTTACATAAATATAACCAAGCTTTTATTTTCATTTTTAATAGTATGCATAGATACTGTTTGTGCTTGAAATATCCTAATAAATCTTCCTCTGTTTAGCCTCTCCGACTTGATATAAAGCGGAAACTAACAGCTCGATCTGACCGAGTGAAGAGTGTGGACTTGCATCCCACAGAACCATGGATGTTGGCTAGCCTTTACAATGGCAGTGTTTGTGTTTGGAACCATGAAAC